TTTTTAGGCTGGGTGTGGTGGCTCATGCCTGTAATCCCTGTACTTTGGGAGGCCGAGGTAAGAAGATTGCCTCAGCCCAGGAATTTGAAACCAGCCTAGGCAACATAGTGAGACCTCATCTCCACAAAAAATTAGCCAGATGTGGTGGTAAGCACCTAGAACTTAAGGCAGAAGGACCACCTGAGCCCAGGAGGTCAAGTTTATAGTGAGCTCTAACATTTTTCTTTAGAGACAAGATTTTTCTCTTGTCTGGAGTGCAGTGGCACAATCATAGCTCACTGCAGCTTTGAACTCCTGGGCTTAAGCAATCCTCCTGCTTTAGCCTTCCAAAGTACTGAGATTACAGGCATGAACAACCACACCTGGCTAGTACATTCTTGCATGCTGTTTTAAAGATGTAAGTCTGGAAAATTTCAGGTTTAGAACTGGAGGTACCTCCAGGAACTATAATCAGACACTAAAAAATTTGTTTCTCTAGCCAGGCTCGGTGGCTCAGCCTGTAATCACACGCCTTTGGGAGGCTGAGGTGAGTGGATTGTCTGAGCCTGCGGGTTCGAGACCCGCCTGGGCAGTGAGACCTCATCTCTACAATAAGTCAAAAAATCAGCCGGGTGTGGTAATGCACGCCTGTAATTCCGGCTACTCGGAAGGCTGAGGCGGAAGGATCGCCGGAGCCCAGCGGTCGAGGCTGCGGTGGCCGGGAACGGCCACTGCACTCCAGTCTGGGTGACAGAGTGAGACTCCAACTCAAAAAAAAAAAAGGAAGAGAAAAAAATTTGTTTCTCTGGGGATAAAAATGTCTTACAACAGAGCCAGGAGCAGTGGCATGAGCCTGTAGTCCCAGCTACTTTGGAGGCTGAGGTAGGAGGATCCCTTGAGCCTAGGAATTCAAGTCCAGCCTACACAACATAGCAAGAACTTGTCTCTCTAAAAGGAAAGAAAGAAAGAAATACTTTACAACATGAAAACCTAATATTCAACTTTTAGATATTTGACTTTAGATTTTTCAGGAATGTATAACATACAAAATAGAAGACTGCCTCAAGATGCTCAGCTGTGAAGTAAAAGAGAAAGCTGAGCAGCAGCTGAATGAGAATGCAGAAAGAGGAGATTACCATCATCCAATACATTGATTGTAAGTGAAAACTGTCAATAATTGTAAATGTGGCCTACAACTAAGTGTCTTGTACAGAGCAGTGGAAGTGGAGACAAGGGATTTAAGAAACAGCACAGGTGGGAAGCAGGCCATTGACTCCATGATCATGACAAGAAGCCTTGAACCTCTCCCTTCTGCCTGCTCTGCTGCCTGCCCCCCTGTAGAATAGCAAAAGTGAATGTATTTCCAGTCTGCAAGGACTGGGGTGGGGGTAGGGGGTGGAGGTGTGGATGAAAGAGCGAAGCTGCTTTGTCTTTAATTCAGGTTTGGTGGGAGTAGAACAAACAGGACAATGAATAAGAGTAGAAGCGCTAGCCGGGCTCGGTGGCTCAGCCTGTAATCCCGCGCCTTTGGGAGGCTGAGGTGAGTGGATTGCTGAGCATGCGGGTTCGAGACCCGCTGGGCAGCGAGACCTCATCTCTACAATACATCAAAAAATCAGCCGGGCGTGGTAGCGCATGCCTGTAATTCCGGCTACCTGGAAGGCTGAGGCGGAAGGATCGCCGGAGCCCAGCAGGTCGAGACTGTGGTGGCTGGGAGCGGCCACTGCACTCCAGTCTGGGCCACAGAGTGAGACTCCAACTCAAAAAAAAAAAAAAAACCCAAAAACAAGAGTAGAAGCGCTGGAACATGGGTTTTGTGTAGGATGTGCTGGAATAGGTGTGGCACCACCAAGCACTCCAGGGCTACATGAATCACATGCAGTAATTCAGTCAGCAGCCACTGCATTCCCATAGGCAAGTCTGAGACAGTTTTCTAAACCTACTTCTCCCTCCTGCAACCCTCAAACCTCAGTGCCCACACTTCTACAGGGGAAACTGTAGGAGTTCCACAGAGTAGTGGACTTTTTCCTAAACATTCCACCTATAGCTCTTAGCACTAGGCCCAGTCATCCGTGGCATGCTGGCTGTTCACTCATCAGCCAATAAGCTGTTAAGTACACGCTACGGGGCAAGGGGGTTGAGAGGACCGGACTCCGCAGAAGGTAAAGACAAATCCCTGTAAACACAGGTTCAAAGGCCGCATGCGTAAAGGCTACGCAACCGCAGTGATTACAGTTACTGCCATCGAGGCACCATTCGGGTCAAGCCAAGGCGCAGCGCACCCTCTCGGAGCACGCACGCTGCATTCGATGCCCCGCCCACTTCCCTCACACCGCCCCCGACGGAAGCGGAAGCGGCTCTCGCGCTGCCCAGTCGTCCGGCTCGCCGGCTCCGGAAGTCGCGCTCTTTCGCCCTCCTCGTTGGTCTCCTGTCACCATGGCGCTGGCTGTCTTGCGGGTCTTGGAGCCCTTTCCAACCGAGACGCCCCCGTTGGCAGTGCTGCTGCCTCCTGGGGGCCCATGGCCGGCGGCGGGACTGGGGCTGGTACTGGCGCTGAGGCCTGCGGGGGAAAGCCCGACAGGGCCGGCGCTGCTAGTGGCGGCCCTGGAGGGGCCGGGCGCTGAGACCAAAGAGCAAGGTCCCGGGCCCCCGCAGCTGCTGGTTAGCCGCGCGCTGCTGCGGCTCTTGGCACTAGGCTCCGGGGCGTGGGTGCGGGCGCGGCCGGTGCGGCGGCCCCCAACGCTGGGCTGGGCGCTGCTTGGCACCTCATCCGGGCCCGGGCTCGGACCGCGCGTCGGGCCGCTGCTGGTGAGGCGCGGAGAGACCTTGCCAGTGCCCGGAACGCGGGTGCTGGAGACACGGCCGGCGTTGCAAGGGCTTATGGGCCCAGGGACTCGGCTGGCTGTAACTGAGATACGCGGGCAGGCCAGGCTGTACCCCGAGACTGGGGACAGCAGTCGGCCCCCACCTCCGCCCGTGGTGTCCTCCTTTGCGGTTTCCGGCACAGTACGGCGACTGCAAGGAGTTCTCGGAGGTACTGGAGATTCACTGGGGGTGAGCCGGAGATGCCTCCGTGGCCTCGGGCTCTTTCAGGGCGAATGGGTGTGGGTGTCCCGGGCCGGAGAGCCATCGAGCACTTCCCAGCCGCACTTGGCTACGGTGCAGGTCCTAGAACCTCGCTGGGACCTCCCTGAGAGGCTGGGACCTGGCTCTGGGCAGCTTGGAGAGCCCCTCGCTGACGGACTGGCGCTCGTGCCCGCCACTCTGGCTTTTAATCTCGGCTGCGACCCCCTAGAAGTGGGGGAGCTCAGAATTCAGGTAGGATTCAGGACTGAGGTCAGGAGTGCTTCCTCTTCCTAATACCCTCTTCTCTGTTTTTACTGAATTGGAATACTAGAACTGTAGAATTTAGGTCCCTCGCTCCGCACCATCTTGGGCTTTTCACTGCATGTCTCTTAGACTTATTATCATAATACCACAAGCCTCCATAGTGTAGTGGTGCACAGGAAGGACTTTCACCTGTTCAGGTGGAAAATGAGATTCACAGTCACAGTTGCCAGGCGTGTATATTAATCTGCTTAATCTAATCAGTTGTTTATTAAATTGCCATAATATATCCAGTATTGTGCTGGGTAGTATGGATGATGTCAGTGCTTCTGCTTATCCTTGACTTCAGATTCCTTCTTATTCTTCTAGCCTTATCTGTTAAAATCCTAACATCCTTTCCTTCAAAGTCCATCTAAAGATGACACCTTTGTCACAAAGCCTTTCGTATTCTTACTGGCACGAATTTGACCTTTTTTCTTCTATAGCATTTTGTACCTTTTTAAATGGCATTTATTTTATTCTGTTTTGTTATGCTTACATAGACTGTCTAATCCCCAATTATATATTGTTATGTTCCTTGAAGGAAAGGGCTCTTTATTATCTTTGGTGCCTTGTGTTTAATTTTAATATTTCATTTAATACATCCAAGGGGAATTTTTAGTTTCTGTCTTTACTTTAAGAAGACAGTTGTGTTTGGGGAGACAAATACAGTCTAATGTGTAATTAAGCACCTAGATGTATGGTTTAGCCTGGTGCTGTCCAATATGGAAGCCACTAGTCACTTTGTGACTCTTTAAATTTAAATTAATTAAAACTAAAGTAAAAAATTCAGTTCTTCAGTTGCTCTGTGTACATTTCAAGTGCTTAGGAACCACATAGATATAGAACATTTCTATAATTGTAGAAAGTTCTACTGGGCAATATTAGATTAGCCACTTAATACTATGGTATGTCAGGAAGTGATGTAAGATATACATAAACAGGAGTGAATGTGGGTTTCCCTCTGAATGGCAAAAAAACTACTAGAGTACTCAGAATGGCGCTTTTTCCACTGAACCAACCTTTTCAGTTTCAGTGAGGTCATGTCCTTTTCCCACAGCCAGAGTTCAGAGTGTCCCTGCTAATGTCTCTGTAACAATTCCAGTAGGTGCCTGGTGTCACTCAAAGGACTTATAGGAATACCTTTACCATTTAATTGGCTCAGCGTTGGGTTAAAGGTATCACAGAAAGTTTATCTTTACTGGGAACTTTTTGGAGTCAGAGTCAGGACATCTCTTCTTGGTGTCCATTAGAGGGAGAGCTTTCTATTTTCTGCGAAAGGCAGAGATACTCAGCTCTGGCCCCACCTCCCGCAAGCTTTGTGGTTATGGGAAGAATGGAGAATGGACATAGATATGCTGGTTGCTAAGAGGCAAGGTAGAGGCTGCCCTCTTAGGCAAAGTTTATAAAGTGGTTATTTCTCTAATAGAGGTACTTGGAAGGCTCCATCACCTCTGAAGACAAAGGAAGCTGCTCATTGCTGCCTGGGCCACCGTTTGCCAGAGAGTTACACATTGAAATTGTATCCTCTCCCCACTACAGCACTAATGGAAATTATGACCATATTCTTTACCGGCACTTTCAGACACCCAGGTTAGCTACCTATCCCTTTAAGGAGGATAGTTTCTCACCCTCATCATGCTCCTTCTATCCCGTGCCTTAAATTCAGGTACCTCAGAGCTCCTGGTTTAAAAAACCCACATTTGGCCAGGCTCGGTGGCTAAGCCTGTAATCCCAGCACTTTGGGAGGCTAAGGAGAGTAGATTGCCTGAGCCTGTGGGTTCAAGACCAGCCTGGGCTACTTGGCGAGATCTCATCTCTACAATAAATCAAAAATTAGCTGAGTGTGGTAGCGCATGCCTGTAGTTTCGGCTACTTGGAAGGCTGAAATGGAAGGATCGCTGGAGCCCAGCAAGTCAACACTGGGGTGGCCGTGAGAGTGCCACTGCTCTCCAGCCCAGGCGACAGAGTGAGACTCCACCTCAAAAAACAAACAACAACAACAAAAAAAACCCACATTTATGCCAGGCGCGGTGACTCAAGCCTGTAATCCGAGCACTTTGTGAGGCTGAGGCGAGAGAATTGTCTGAGCCCAGGGGTTTGAGACCAGCCTGAGCAACATAGTGAGACTTCGTCTCTACAGTAAATCAAAAAATTAACTCAGCATGGTGGCATATCCCTATGGTTCCAGCTACTTGGAAGGCTGAGGCAGAAGTATCTGAGCCCAGCAGGTCGAGGCTACAGTGATTGTGAGCATGCCACTGCACTTCAGCCTAGGTGACAGAGTGAGACTCCGACCCAAAAAGAAACAAAAAACGAAGCCACATTTAGGCAAATTGTGATTAGGCGCCTCTTGGTGTGTCAGACCACAGAAGAGAAATCTGAACCATTTGGTAAATTTGGTCGTTCCAGATTGAAAATTCTCTTTGCTCAAAGAGGGCTCCAAAAGAGCCAGGATTCTGCTGTAGTGCTCACAGGTTCTGATTCCCCCTTCTAGCCCTCCATCATTTCTCCAGATTCACTCTAGATCTGACTTGTTCCCTGGAGAACTGATGGGATCTCTGGGTGGGCAATAGAGTCCGAAGAAGTAGTCTGCATGTTGGGGATGGGCATGGGGAAATGAGTCAGGCATATGCTTCTTACACTGTGAGCTGACCAGGACCACTGCTGTGTTGCAGGGTGGCCCAGGAAGGGGATGTTCTGTGTGTGCCAACAGTTGGGCAAGTAGAGATCCTGGAAGGAAGTCCAGAGAAACTGCCCAGGTATGCAGCTGACTTCTGTCCTACAGGTGGGATTCATAACTTGGGTGCAAGAGTTCTACAACCCCCTCCCTCAAAATTGTATGTAATAATTTTATGCCTAAGTATTTTGTTGTGTATATTTTTTGGAGACAAAGTTCATCCCTTCTTCAGGTTCCCAAGCAGATGTGTGACTGAAGAAAAGATAAGATCCAGCTGGGCATAGTGGTTCATGCCTGTAATCCCAAGAGGTTTTATTGGGAAGGATTGCTAGAGCCCAGGGGTTTGAGACCAGCCTAGGCAACATAGTGAAACACTGATTCAAAAAAACGACAAAGAGGCAGGGTGGGGTGGTTTATGCCTGTAATCCCAGCACTTTGGGAAGCTGAGGTGAGAGGATTGCCTGAGCCCCAGGGTTTGAGACCACCTTGGGCAACATGGCAAGACCTCATCTCTACAATAAATCAAAAAATTAGCCAGACTTGGTGGCACACACCTGTAGTTCCAGCAACTTGGAAGACTGAGATAGAAGGATCGCCTTAGCCCACCAAGTTAAGGCTGCGATGGCCGTGATCATGCCTCTGCACTCCAGCCTGGCCAACAGAATGATACTCTGACAAAAAAACCAAAACAAACAAAAAACAACAAAGAACCACTGCCTACTGGTTTGAGGAGGTGTTTATTCTCAAGCCGATTGGTGGTCAAGGTAAAGAAAAGCAATAAGAAGAGTTTAATTGCCCAGACAAAGATGGGATTCCTTCCTTTCCAATCTCAGTCACAGTGTTGTTTGGGCCAGGACTCCGGCCATACCACCCATATTTCAATGTCAGGATATACAGGCTCTGGTTTTTGCTCTAACTAATGGAGCATGCACAAGCTGCTTCTCAGTCCTATCTCTGAAAATGGGTGAAAGAGGTATTGCTGCTGTCCTCAAGGGGCCTACCCTCTTTCCTGTCAACAGACTGAGAAAGCATAACAGCAAGAACCCAAAACAAGGCATCTAGTTTTTTTCCTGTTGACTCTGACCACAGAGGTTCTGTGTAAAATGGTAAGGCAAAGAATTAAGACAGTGCTTTAGCTTTTTTTTTTTTTTTTAGTTGGAGTCTCACTGTTGCCCAGGCTGGAGTGCAGTGGCATGCTCACGGCCACCACGGCCTCGACCTGCTGGGCTCAGGTGATCCTTCCACCTCATCCTTCCAAGCTGAAACCACAGGTGTGCTAAATTTTTTTTTTTTTTAAATGAGTTGGAGTCTCACTCACCCAGGCTGGAGTGCAGTAGCATATTCACGGCCACCGCAGTCTTGACCTGCTTAGCTCAGGCAATCCTGCCTCAACCTTCCAAGTAGCCAGAACCACAGGCACATACTACCACACCCAACTAATTTTTTAATTTAATGTAGAGATGAGATCTCACCAAGTTTCCCAAACTGGTCTCAAATCCCTGGGCTCAGGCAGTCCTCTCGCCTTGGCCTCACAAAGTGCTGGGATTACAGGCGTGAGCCACTGCACCCAACTGCTTTGGTCTTATTTGAAGGGAGGAAAATATGTAGTCCTGTACCCCAGGCAGTCCTTCAATTCTTGACTGATTTCCTCTAGCAATTTACTAGAAGGAGAACACAACTGGTAAATACACTAATCCAACTTTAAGAGCCCTCATGGCCCAGGCACGTTGGCTCGTGCTTATAGTCCTGGCAACTTGGGAGGCTGAGGCAGGAAGACCACTTGATCCTAGGAGTTCAAGGCTGCAAAGTGCCTGATTCATCCGTGGTCAATATCCAAAGCTTGGTCTGGCCAGGGCTCAGTCGCTCCAATCTCAGGACAGTGGTACCCTGTGTAACCCCATTTAGACTCCACGGCACCTCTTTGAGGTTTCACAGATTAAGTCCACACCTGGGGTCTGGTAGAAAATGCCAAGCTGGCACTTATCAGTCACTTCCCACTTCTGTCTCCCATCTTAAATTTAGCAAATGCCTATGAACTAATTTTTGTAGGAAAACTGCAGAATGCCCACTGGTACTAGGACCTCTATAGACTGGGACCTCTGCTGTCCCAACCCTGTGGAAACCTGGTTTCCTCCTGGATGCTGGGCATGTAGTTCTTCCCCCTGAGCAAGTCCCAAGTAGGGTTGGGGTGGGTGGGCAGGTGGGTTCAAGGCAGATAGGCGTGAGTATGTTAGCCATCCTGGGCTTGGTAAGGGAAGCCCTGCAGTGTTCCACTTCCCAAAACCAGGCTGCAAGTATGCTGTCTGGCTCTAGAACATAATCCAGTGTTATAGGTTTCAGAACTCTGGTCCCTCTACTCACTGAGATGGTCCAGTCACCCTCCACTAAAAAGGTGCTCTCCCTAACTGCCCTTCCCCCAGTGCTGTCCCTCATCTCATTCCTATACAGTGCTTCCAACAGTGTCATGTGCACTCTGACCCCAGATGTTCTGCTTGATCCAGATCCTGGGCTATAGACCTACTGCCACTTATTTATAATTAATTACAGTAAGATACAGTTTTCCTTATGTTCAAGTTTTTACCACAATCACTACCAACTGTAGGACTTGCAATAGCTTCATAATACTAACCTGGTATGCTTTTCCCTCCACCTTGACATACTCCCACCCTGCTTTGACTGTGGGACAGTGTGAATGAAGGAATTTGCATCCTGATTGGACCTTAAAGACGTCCTTATTAACATCTGTCATTGCCTTTCTGCCTGAGGATTAAAGAGAGTAGTTTTATCATTTCTTTATCTGAGAAACTGGGTTCCTAGCTGCCCTGCTACCTACCCTCTTCCTGGTTAGTAAGTTGAATGACTCTGACCCACTATGACGCTGGCCAATGACAGCCCTGGTTATGTATCAGAATTGCTGGGGGAACTTAAAAAATATATAAATGTGTAAGCCTTATCTCACATCTATTGGAACAGAATTAGAGTACAGCTTGAGCCTGTGCTGCCTTTTTTCCCCCCAGAAAGGAAGGAGAAATGCTAATTAAAAAAATTTAAGCCGGGCTCGGTGGCTCAGCCTGTAATCCCATGCCTTTGGGAGGCTGAGGTGAGTGGATTGCCTGAGCCCGTGGGTTCAAGACCCGCCTGGGCAGCGAGACCTCATCTCTACAATAAATCAAAAAATCAGCCGGGCGTGGTAGTGCGTGCCTGTAATTCTGGCTACTTGGAAGGCTGAGGTGGAAGGATCGCCGGAGTCCAGCAGGTCGAGGCTGCGGTGGCCGGGAGCAGCCACGGCACTCCAGTCTGGGCGACCGAGTGAGACTCCAACTCAAAAAAAAAAAAAAAAAATTTAGATATAATTCACATAAAATAAAATTCACATGTTTAAAATGTACAATTCAGTGGTTTTTATTATATTCATAAGGTTGTGGCTGGGCATGGTGGCTTATGCCTATAATCCCACCACTTTGAGAGGCTGAGGCAGGAGGATATCTTGAGCCCAGGGATCTGCTGGAGGCTGCAGTGAGCTATGATCATGCTACTGTACTACAGCCTGGGCAACAGAACAAGACTTTGACTCTTAAAAAATATTTGAGAGAGGTCGTATAACCAACATTACTCTTTAATTCCAGAACATTTTCATTGCCCCAAAAAGAAACTGTATTCATTAGCAGTCATTCCCTATTCTCTCCCTTGACCAGCCCCTGGCAACTACTAATATACTAAATGGAACCATATAATATGTGAAAAATGTTTATTTTTTAAAGTTTCACAGATAGGCCAGGCATGGTAGCTCACGCCTATAATTCCAGCACTTTGGGAGGCAGAGGCAAGAGGATGACCTGAGTTTAGGGGTTTGAGACCAGCCTGGGCAACATGGTGAGACCTCATCTCTACAATAAGTTTTTCTTTTTTCTTTTTTGAATTGGAGTCTCACCCTGTCACCCAGACTGGAGTGCAGTGGCATGTTCCCGGCCACTGCAGCCTCAACCTGCTGGGCTCTGGCGATCCTTCCACCTCAGCCTTCCAAGTAACTGGAACTACAGGCGCGTGCTACCATGCCCGGCTAATTTTTTTGATTTATTGTAGAGACGAGGTCTTGTCAAGTTGCCCAGGCGGGTCTCGAATGCGCGGGCTCAGGCAATTCACTCACCTCGGCCTCCCAAAGCGCGGGATTACAGGCTGAGCCACTGAGCCCAGCTACAATAAATTTTTTAAAAGATTATAACCAGGTGTGGTGGCGTGCATCTGTAGTTTCAGCTACTTGGAAGGCTGAGGCAGAAGGATCGCATAAGCCCAGCAGGTCAAAGCTGCAGTGGCCATGAGTGTGCCACTGGACTCCAACCTGGGCGACAAGAGTGAGACTCCAACTCAAAAAAATAAATAAATAAAAATTAAAAAAAAAAAATAGTGCATGCCTGTGGTTCCAACTACTAGGAAGGCTGAGGCAGAAGGATCGCCTGAGCCCAGCAGGTCGAGGCTGGGGTGGCTGTGAGCATGCCACTGCACTCTAGCCTGGGTGACACAGTGAGACTCCAACTCAAAAAGTAAAACAAATAAAATGAAGTTTCACAGAGAATTCTAATGTGCACCCAGAATAGAGAATTATTATTCATTAGATGGCATTATTAAGGAATTCACATGCATTTAGATTTTGTGGATTACTTAATAAGAGCTAAGGGACCCTTCCATCTGAGGTTTTTGGGACCTTGTTGGGTATGTATTTGAGGGAGACTGCATTCTGAAGCCAGTGGAAATAATCAGATGACCCATTACTTAGTGCAGCAGTGGCTTTACCCTTGAAGTTGGGGAGCCATGTGCCTGGAGAAGTGTACCCCCAAAGCTCTCTGATGGTTTTGGGAGATGTAGATGGGGGATATAGATGAACATGCATAGCTCCTGCCCTCAGGATGTGTATGATCCAGTCTGGGAGATAAGAAAGACCATCTCATTCCTTTTCCCTACCCTTCTACCCCTGCCATGCCCTAGGGCACTTATTTGTGCTGTTCTGTTTGTCCTCTGTGATTGAGAAAACCCCCTGTCCTTGAGGAGGATCTGGGATTCTTTGGGTCTTTTTTCTGCAGGTGGCGGGAAATGTTTTTTAAAGTGAAGAAAATAGTGGGGGACACTCCAGATGGGCCAACCAGCGCCTACTTGGCCGATACTACCCACACCTCCTTATACATGGTAAGTCCCCAAGGGTGGGAGGAGATGGGCACAGGGGGGTAGAAGCAGTATTTTAAAATGAAAGTGGCCAGACTTGGTGGTTCAGCCTTTGGAAGGCCGAGGTGAGTGGATTGCCTAAGCTCGCGGGTTTGAGACCTGCCTGGGCAGCTTGGCAAGACCTCATCTCTAAATTCCAAAAAAATTAGCCCTGCACAGCAGCGCACACTTGTAGTTCCAGCTACTTGGAAGGCTGAGGTGGAATGATCACCTGAGTCCAGCAGGTTGACGCTGGGGAGGCCATGAGTGTGCCACTGCCCTCTAACCTGGGCAACAGAGTGAGACTCCAACTTTAAATAAATAAACAAACAAACAAATAAATAAATGAGTGAGTGAGTAAGTTACTGAATGAATGAATGAATGAATGAAAGGTCTCTCCTGCCTTTCACAGGTAGGTTCTACCCTGAGCCCTGTTCCATGGCTTCCTTCAGGAGAATCTACTCTCTGGAGCAGTTTATCTCCTCCAGGCCTGGAGACCTTGGTGACTGAGCTCTGTGCTGCCCTAAAACCTCGCCTCCAGCCAGGGTGAGTGAGGCCACCGCCTCAGGGTGTGAGAAAAGCCTGCTCAGAACAGCCTTGGAGGGGCAGCCTCTGGACAGTAGTTCCTAATGCTCTGACTGGAGTGAGATTGGGAGGATCTTCCTCTAACCGGTATGCCCATTCCAGGCCACCAGCCCAGTCTTTTCTGTAAGCAAATTCCCAGGCTCCGGGATAACCTTCATCTTCCAAGGTCAGTTCTAAAGGAAGACTCTCCACCAGGAGCAGCCATCTCTAAGACTGCCCTTCCCCTTGGGGAGCCCACAGGTCATCCTGGACTTCACCACCCTGGCCCTGAAGGACACAGCTCCCTGTACCAGTGGCCCAAGTGTAAACACAGACCCCTCCCTAATGTCTCTCAGTGCTGTTCAGACAAGATGTGACAGTCAAGGCTTTATTGAAGGAGTAGTGATAACAAAAGGGAATTAGTCTCTGGCTGCTGGGTATGCCCCATGCCCCTGCCAGAGCACTACAGATGGTGTGGGGAAGATGGCCCCACCATGTGGGGCAGCCCTGGACTGGGGTGGAGATGGGGCTCAAGGAGAGAGAAATAAGAGTTTCTGCTCTCTAGATCCAAGGGACTCTAAAATTTGGGCACAAAGGAGCAGACAAGTATCTGTTCTCTGGTTGCAGGGGTACCCTGCTGACAGGAACTAGCAGTGTCCTTCTACGGGGCCTCCCAGGCAGTGGGAAGACCACAGTAGTCACTGCTGCCTGCAGGCGCCTTGGGCTCCATTTATTGAAGGTGAGGGTTTCTGAAGAGAAGAACCCCAATTACTTCCCCTTCCCAGATCAAATTCTCCCTCTTTCCTCCTGCCTCTGTCTACTAGCCAGCCCTCACACTTCTGCCCAGTGGGTCAGGTGTATTCCCATGGTGCTTAGCTTCTGAGAGCTACCTTCAAGAAGGGGAGAGTTTTCAGATTTTGGTGGACAGTCCAGGGAACGGGGTATAGGGTAAAGAAGAGGGAAGACTTGGCCAAGGCACCCTCTTCCCTCAGCCCTGCCCTCCAGAGGAAAAGCTGGCCTACATCTTTTGACTCTCTTCCCCCATTCTCCTGCTCCAGCCATGCTTGCCCCTGTCATACTTGCCCTGGCTTACAGACCCACTGGTACCCCCTCCCCAGGTGCCGTGCTCCAGCCTCTGTGCAGACAGTAGTGGTGCTGTGGAAACAAAGCTGCAGGCCACCTTCTCCTGGGCCCGCCGCTGCCGGCCTGCAGTCCTGTTGCTTACAGCCCTGGATCTTCTGGGCTGGGATCGCGATGGGCTGGGTGAGGATGCCCGTGTGGTGGCCACGCTGCGTCACCTCCTCCTCGATAAGGACCCTCTCAGCAGGTATTTATACAGAGTTGGGCCTGTTAACAGGGTGAGGCCCAGCCCTCCTGGCTTCTCTTCAGCTTTTCAGTCCTCTCTTCTTCACACCCCTCAGTGGCCTCTCAGACATCTACTGCCCATTTGGCTACTGCCTTCTAGACAGCCCTGAACTCAGGGTCTTAAGGGGATCCAGAGGGAGGAGGATGTGATCTAGTGTGTCTTGGGGAACATTCAGGTAAAAACAAAGCACAGCTTCTCCCCTCTATGAGTTCCTTGTGTGAGGGGAAATACAGGTCCCCCTCAAGTTATTCCCTTGGGCCCCCATCCAGGAACTGGGGTAGGTGCTTGTCTTCCTAGCCCATCCAGCACCCATTCCCACCTCCCTACCCTTCTGCACCAGCCCAGGACAAGGCAGTGCTTGGGAGCCATCACCCACATCCATGCCCTCAGTGCGCATTCTTCTGTCTGCAGTTGCCCTCCCCTGATGGTTGTGGCTACCACAAGTCGAGCCCAGGATCTGCCTGCTGATGTGCAGACAGCATTTCCTCATGAGCTGGAGGTGTCTATGCTGTCAGAGGGGCAGCGGCTCAGCATCATGCGGGCCCTCACCGCCCACCTTCCCCTTGGCCAAGAGGTGAACTTGGCACAGCTGGCACGGCGGTGTGCAGTGAGTATCAGGGCAGAGTTCCAGGCCTTCCTGGGAGCTCACAGGGCCTTTGTCACAGGAACACAGTCCTGTTGCCTTGTGAGGTAGTTGTGGAAAACTAGAAAACTCCAAGGCATCAACACTGAGTCTCTGCTCCAGCTGGGGGACCAGTCCCCCAAGGGTTCCCACCTACTGTGCCCTGCTTATATGCCCTTTCCTGTGATTCCCTAGGGTTTCGTGGTAAGGGACCTCTATGCCCTTCTGACCCACAGCAGCCGGGCAGCCTGCACCAGGATCAAGAACTCAGGGTAAAGGGTGTCGGGCACAGGAGGGGAAAGGAGGCAAGAGGAAATGTGGGTGGGTGGCTGGTGAGGGAGCAGATGGGAATGGGACCCTAACGGGCAGGAGGCCTTGGGTGAAGTCCTCCATAGGCCTCCCTGTGTTTCTCGTTACAGTTTGGCAGGCAGCTTGAGTGAGGAGGATGAGGGGGAGCTGTGTGCTGCTGGCTTTCCCCTCCTGGCTGAGGACTTTGCACAGGCACTGGAGCAACTGCAGGCAGCTCACTCCCAGGCTGTCGGAGCCCCCAAGGTAAAGACTCCACATCTTTGGAGGTGGGACTGGAGTGTTCCCCTAGCATATTCCAACTGTGCCCTTTCTGTCTCCTAGATCCCCTCGGTGTCCTGGCATGATGTGGGCGGGCTGCAGGAGGTGAAGAAGGAGATTCTGGAGACCATTCAGCTGCCTCTGGAGCACCCCGAGCTGCTGAGCCTGGGTCTGAGACGCTCGGGCCTGTTGCTCCATGGGCCCCCTGGCACTGGCAAGACCCTCCTGGCCAAGGCAGTAGCCACCGAGTGCAGCCTTACTTTCCTCAGGTGGCCAGAGGGCCTGGAAGGGATGGCGGGTGGATTAGTGGCTACAGCAGGCTGGAGAGCAGGGGATTGCCCGAGTGGGTTTGCATCTGCTGGGTCTCACCTTCTCAATCCTCTCACTCAGTGTGAAGGGGCCAGAGCTCATCAACATGTACGTGGGCCAGAGTGAGGAGAATGTGAGAGATGGTGAGTGAGCAAGGAGGGGCAGGGGTTCTGGCTCTTCCCAGGCTGCTCATGGTCATTCCTAGTCCTTTCCAAAAGTTGGGTTCCTGCCCAGCTGAGTCTTCTCTTACCTTGAGTGCTGGTGCTGAACTGTTAGACCCCAGTTTCCCACTGTCTCCCCTGACCTCAGACGCCCCTGAGCTTCCCCCTCCTGCGGAACCTCTCTCTCTTCAGTGTTTGCCAGGGCCAGGGCCGCGGCTCCATGCATTATCTTCTTCGATGAACTAGACTCCTTGGCCCCAAGCCGGGGGCGAAGTGGCGATTCTGGAGGAGTGATGGACAGGTGTGGGTCTGAGTGGGAATGGAGTCTGGGGCTCAGGGTGGGAAGGATGTGAGACAGGTCACAGCAGTCTTCAGCCCAGAGCCCAAAGATAGACAGATGTTCCTGCTCTTCTGGTTCTGAGGTAATGGAAGCTAAAAGGGACAATGAAGTTGAACAGGGGACACTGAAGAACATGGGGGCCTACATGGAGGGGTACACAGGGCACATACAGCTGAGCAGAGGACCCTGTTGAGACAGCCCGTAGGAGAGGCACCACAGGCAGGGGCAAGTCTGAGGCAGCGCCAAGAGTCCCCTACGCTTCCTCCTCTGTAGGGTGGTGTCGCAGCTCCTGGCTGAGCTGGATGGGCTTCACAGCACTCAGGATGTGTTTGTGATCGGAGCCACCAACAGACCAGATCTTCTGGACCCTGCCCTGCTGCGGCCTGGCAGGTAGGCCCCCCGTGCCTCTCACCTCCACCAGGCCCATCTGGCCTTGTCCCTCCTCCCAATCTGAGCCTCCTTCTCCCCTTGTGGCTGGGCTTCCCGGCACTTACACCTGCCTGTCTCCCTAAAGATTTGACAAGCTGGTGTTTGTGGGGGTGAGCGAGGACCGGGCCTCCCAACTACGTGTTCTGAGCGCCATCACACGCAAGTATGCCCTGTTAGAGGGAGACTTCCAAAGCCTTGGGCCTTGGGATGGTTAGGGGATACGTGCAGCAGGCAGGGTGAGCTGCTCAGCGATGGCTGTCAGGGAAGGAGGTGATGCCAGCTCTTTTTCTTTCCTGTATCCCCACAACAGATTCAAGCTAGAGCCCTCGGTGAGCCTGGTGAACGTGCTGGATTACTGCCCTCCCCAGCTGACGGGTGCAGACCTCTACTCTCTCTGCTCTGATGCCATGACAGCTGCCCTCAAACGCAGGGTTCATGACCTGGAGGAAGGTGAGCCACTCGCCAGCCCCAGAGGTCATTCAAAAAGCTAGTGGGGTGCCAGATGGCCTGTAGTCCCTCGTGCTTGGGAGGCTGAGTTAGGATTGCTTGAACTCAGGAGGTCAAGGACAGCCTGGGCAAGATAGCAAGACCCCATCTTTAAAAAAGTTTTTAAGCCAGGCTCGGTGGCTCAGCCTGTAATCCCGCGCCTTTGGGAGGCTGAGGTGAGTGGATTGCCTGAGCTGGCGGGTTCGAGACCCGCCTGGGCAGGGAGACCTCATCTCTACAATAAATCAAAAAATCAGCCGGGCGTGGTAGTGCGTGCCTGTAATTCCGGCTACTTGGAAGCCTAAGGTGGAAGGATCGCCGGAGCCCAGCAGGTCGAGGCTGCAGTGGCCGGGAGCGGCCACTGCACTCCAGTCTGGGTGACAGAGTGAGACTCCAACTAAAAAAAAATAAAATAAAATAAAAAAGTTTTTAACCCTTTGCGCCCAGATGTCCCCTCTCAGGGGACATAAAGAGATTGCTGGTGATTATACAGAAAAAACTTATGCCAGTGCAAATTTTTTCAAAAATGTATGTTTCCTTGAAGTTTTTCATTTAAATTGCATGAAAAAGCAAATAGGCTGGGCTCAATGGCTCAGCCTGTAATCCCAGCACTTTGGGAGGCTGAGGCGAATGGATTGCCTGAGCCTGTGGGTTCGAGACCAGCCTGGGCAACTTGGCGAGACCTCATCTCTACAATAAATAAAAAATTAGCCAGGCATAATAATGCATGCCTATAGTTCCGGCTATTTGGAAGGCTGAGGCAGAAGGATCGCTGGAGCCCAGCAGGTTGACGCTGGGGTGGCCATGAGTATGCCACTGTACTCCAGTCTGGGCAGTGGAGTGGGACTCCAACTCAAAAAAAAAGAAATACACCAGGTGGGAGATGTCAAATTACTGTTGCATAACATGTATCAATGAACATGCAATGCATATTGATGACTGTTTTACACAATGATTGTTATCACATGAGAAAAAATATATAAAATTTTTATTTTATTTTTTTTATTGGGTGCGATGGCTCATGCCTGTAATACCAGCACTTTGGGAGGTGGAGGCAACAGCATTGCCTGAGCTCAGGGGTTCAAGACCAGCCTGAGGCAACATGGCGAGACCTTATCTCTACAATAAACCAAAAACATAGCCAGGTGTGGTGGCACATGCTTGTGGTTTCAGCTACTTGGAAGGCTGAGGTAGAAGGAATACCTCAGCCCAGCAGGTTGAGGCTGCAGTGGCCATGAGCATGCCACTGCACTCCAGCCTGG